CTTGGGAGGTAGTCCTGAAGGGCAAGGGAGTCCAGGAAGGCTGGGCATTCTTCAAAGAGGAAATCTTAAAGGCAGAGGAGCAGGCCATCCCCATGTGCCAAAAGATGAGCCAGTGGGGAAGACCAGCCTGGCTAAACAGTTTTGGCTGGAGCTCAGGCTGAGGTACTTAATGCCTTCTTTGCTTCAGTCTTTAATGGTAAGTCCAGTTGTTCTTGTGGTATCCAGCCCCCTGAGCTGGAAGACATGGACAGGTAGCAGAATTAAGCCCCCATAATTCAAGGGGAAGTGGTCATCAACCTGCTACACCACTTAGACACACACAAATCTGTGGGGTCAGGTGGGATCCACCCAAGTGTACTGAGGCAGCTGGCAAAAATGCTCATCAAAGACACTATCCATCATTTATCAGCAGCTCTGGCTCACTGGCAAGGTCCCAGTTGACTGGAAGTCAGTAAATGTGATGCTCACCTGCAAGAAGGGTTGGAAGGATTCAGGGAACTACAGGACTGTCAGTCTAACCTTGGTGCTGGAGAGTTAGCGAGCAGCTCATCCTGAGTGCCATCACAGAGATGGTCAAGCCAGTATAGCTTGACCAACCTGGTCTCCATCTATGACCAGCTGACCCACTTAGTGGAAGTGGGAGAGGCTGTGGATGTTGTCCACCTGGACTTTAGCAAAGCCTTTGATTTCTCACAGCATTCTCCTGGAGAAACTGGCTGCTCGTGGCTTGGATGGGGGCACTGTTTACTGGGTAAAAAACTGGTTGAATGGCTGGTGCCAGAGTACTACATCCAGCTGATGGCTGGTCACTAGTGGTTCCCCAGGTTTCAGTATCAGGGCCAGTCCTCTTCAGTGTCTTTATTGCTGATCTGGATGAGGGGCTCAAGTGCACCCTTATTAAGTTTGCAGATGACACTAAAGTGACCGGGAGCATTACCTGCTGGAGGGTAGGAAGGCTCTCCAGAGGGATCTTGACAGGCTGGATTAATGGGCTGAGGACAACTGTGTGAGGTCCAATAAGATGAAGTTCAGGGTCCTGCACTTTGGTCACAACCCCCCCCATGCAGTTTTATATGCTCGACAGAGAGCGACTGAAAAGCTGCCCAGTGGAAAAGGACCTAGGAGTGCTGGTCGACAGCCAGCTGAATGTGAGCCAGCAGTGTGCCCAGGTGGCTAAGAAGACCAAAGGCATCTGGGCTTGTATCAGCAATAGTGCGACAAGCAAGACCAGGGCAGTGATTGTCCCCCTGTACTCAGCACTGGTGAGGCTGCACCTTGAGTCCTTTGTTCAACTTTGGTCCCTCATTGCTAGAAAGACATTGAGGTGCTGGAGTGTGTCCAGAGAAGGGCAAGGGAGCTGCTGAAGGGTCTGGAGCACAAGTCCTGTGAGGAGTGGCCAAGGGACCTCTGGTTGTTCACCTTGGAGAAGAGGAGGCTTAGCGGGGCCTTATCACTTTCTGCAACTACCTGAAAGGAGGTTGTAGCCAGATGGAGGTTGGTCTCTTCTCCCAAATAACAAGTGACAGGACAAGAGGAAATGGCCTCAAGTTGCACCAGCAGAGGTTTAGATTGGATATTAGGGAAAATTTCTCACTGAAAGGCTTGTCAAGCATTGGAACAGGCTGCCCAGGGAAGTGGTGGATTCACCATCCCTGGAAATATTTAAAAAGATGTGTATATGTGACACTTAGGGATATGGTTTAGCAGTGAACTCAGCAGTGCTGGGTTAATGGTTGGACTTGATCTTAAAAGAAAGATGTTGAACAAGGGAGGGGGAAGGTGATTGACATGCTCATGGCTAGGCTTCACGAACGAAGATTTGGGAAAGGCTCTATCCACATTTGTTACAAGCGCGCTGGTGGCTAATAAGGCCAATACGAGATAGACATGACCGATTGCAAAAGGCACAGCAGAAAGACTCCTTAGGTGGTATATTCTGCAAGACACGATTCTTTCTGCGTTGTCTTTTCTCCTTGAGAGTAATCCTGCGTGCGTTCTCAAAGGAAGCAGCAGCGTTATAGATGGTCTGTCTCCAGGCCTCCCGATTTGAGGCCAGAGTAGACCAGTTATGTTGATCAATATGGCCGAGGCTGAGATGTTGTTTCAGGGAGTCCTTGTATCTTTTCTTTGGGGCTCCTCTCTTGCAGCAGCCAGTGGCAAGTTCACCATAAAGCAGGATCTTAGGGAGGTGGTGGTCCTTCATCCCTGAGACATGTCCTGCCCAACGCAGCTGTGTTCTCAGCAACACGGCCTCAATACTCGTAACTGCTGCTTGTTCTAAAACAGATGTATTGGTCACATAATCTGACCAGTGGATGTTTAGGATTGAATGGAGGCAGCATTGATGGAAGTGTTCTAGGAGACACAGTTGGTGGCGGTAGATAACCCATGATTCGGATCCATATAAGAGAGTAGACAGCACAATGGCTTTGTAAACACTGATCTTGGTACTTTTTTCTTCAAATGTTTATTACGCCATACTCTTTTATGGAGTTTTCCGAAAGCACTATATGCCTTTGCTAACCTTTGTCTGTCTCTCCGTCAATCTTACCATCTGAGGTGATGAGGCTACCTAGGTAATTAAACTACTGGACTGACTTGAGCTCTGATTGGCCAATGGTGATATGGGGATGATGGAATACTTCCTGAGGTGCAGGCAGGCAGGCACCTCAGGATTGACATGCACAAAAGAACTAACTAGCAGGCCTGTATTCCAGACTGATGGCTGTCAGAAGACTGGGGGGGGGGGGGGGGGAGTCTTTTTTCCTCTCCTCAGGAAACGGCAGTCACTTCACTTTTGCCCTGACTCAGGGAAGGTATGTGTGTGGAGGGGTCCGAGGTTCATTTTGTTTTTGGCCTGGTCATCTGGCTGCTTCTGGCCCCGGTTTGCCTCTGTTTTCCTGTGCCCTGTTCTGCCCCCAGCCCAGATCTGCTCGGATTTCATCGGAGAGGCTAGACCCACCTGCAGAGGAACCTTTGGGGGAGATCATCCTTTCCCTCTTCTGCTCCCGTGCTGGCAGTGGCTTGTGCCCATCGACAAAGGGGGGGAAATCCCGGCGACAGGCAGCCGCAGACAGCATGAGTTTTCGTGGGAAGAACCCCCTTTTCCCCATTTTGCCTTCCCCTTCTTGTTGTGTTTGGGATCTCCAGTTTTGCCTTCTCCCACACACCGAGGCCCCACGCGGCGAGCGCCAGGGCCCAACAGCGCCCCCTGCTGACCCACACCGAGCAACTGCAGGCTCTGCTCCTCCAGAGATCCGACAGCGCCCCCTGCCGACCGTGGTTAGAATTGTGCCAGAAGGCAGAAAGTACTGAACTGTTTTTTTTTTTGTAGGGAACTTCGGGTGCAGAATTATTGTTTTTGTGTTCTTTTGTTGCTCTGCCAATACACATATATCCTTTAATAAAGGGCTGTTATCTTTTTCTTTCTCCGTATTTCCTCAATTGGAGCCTCTTAATTTCAGATTTACAACCGCTTGGAGGGAGGAGCTTGGTCTTCCTCATAACTCATCCTCCTTCACAAACACTTCAGTCTCATTAAACTCAGACAACATAAATTGTTTTTGAAACTATAGTTATAATAATGTTTTGTGAAACAGTATTGAAAGAACTTCAAGCACAGGCTGAATTCCTTCATTTACTCCTCAGCACACCATGAGGGTTTCCAGGACCACCCATTTTTTTTTAATCTAAAAAAAGATACTTGGGAAATATCAACTGTATCGCCTTTGAGAAGGGTCACTAAGTTGGTCACAGGGCTGTAGCATCTCTCTTGTGAAGACATGCTGAGAGAGTCAGGGTTCAGCCTGGAGACGAGAAGGGTCCAGCAAGACCATAGAGCACCTTCCAGGACCTAAACAAGGCCTCCAAGAAGTCTGGAGAGAGACTTTACAAAGCATGTAGTGACAGGAAAAGGGGCAACGGCTTCAAACTGAAAGAAAGTAGGGTTAGATGAGATATTATAGCAAGAAATTCTTTATTATTAAGGTGATAAGGCACTGGCACAGGTTGCCCAGAGAAGTTGTGGCTGCTCCATCCCTGGAAGTCTTCAAGTCCAGGTTGGATGGGGCTTGGAGCAACCTGGTCTAATGGAAGGTGTCCCTGCCCATAGCAGGGGTGTTGGAACCAGATTACCCTTGAGGTCACAAACCATTCTATGACTCTGACAGTGTATTACAGGATTATATTTTTTAGTCAAAACTTTAAATTAAGGATAATTTTGAAACAATCTCAGTCATGGACATACAGAGGCACAGCTCAAGGCAAACTATACCATGGTAGTCAAAACACAAATAAAAGAAGGTGTGTAGATGAGAGCAACTGAAGAGATGAATGGCAACTGGAGAAAGAATGGAAAAAGGCAACTTCCCTCCTCTTGAGTTCCCCACCCTTTACTTCTGCTCTTCTAAAGGCATTCTCCAAGCAGCTGATTATAGGACTAATTTTAAAATTCAAACAGAAACAGAAACTACATCTTTTGTTCCAAGTAACATGACTTAAGTATCTTCATTTAAATATTCCATTTTAAGGGTTGAGTTATGTAAGTATTCTTCAGGTGATGGCCTGAAGAATAATTCCTTCTGAACCAGCCCTAGCTACACTATTGCCTCCTATTAAGACCTGAAATTAAAGCAAAGGCTAATGCTGTCAATACATATCAAATATTTATTAGTATGCCTGCAGAGGTCACTTGGCCTTGGGACCAACTGCCATACCTAACCGTATGGTTGCTATCCATGACTTACACAAATGCCCAAAGCACATTCATTTCACATGCCCTTCCTGCCTGAAAAGAACTACATCTCAGGCAGTATTCACAAAATAAAAATATTAATAATCAAAGCCCGGTACTTTTCTGGAATTAGAGAGTGGCATTGGGGTAATATTAATAATCAACCTACCCCCCAAAAAACAACTGACAATTAATACATTACAAACTGAGTTTAACATATCAAAAGTTGGGAAATATACTGCTTCAAAAGAGTCACAGCCTATCAGTATAAAGGAAGAATATAAAACTATTTTATTGACCACTGTTCACCATTATTTACAATAAAGTAAACAATATAAGTAACAATATAATAACAAGTCTGATAACATTCAAATTACTACAAAGTTAGTTTTCACCTAGTCTTCTGAAGACCAAGCGATCCCAAATACTAAAAAGAATGACCCTACAGGTTTAAAGGGCTAGGTTTGGGTAAAGAAGATACATGCACATCAATAGTACAGAAGACTACAAAACATCTGTGAGTTTGTTTAGACATTCATTATGATCCTGTAATAACTATGGAAGTTCATCCATGTTTTATAAAAGCTTTAACCTAATATGGAGGAAGTAGTAGTATCAAATGCTCTCTTGTGATAAATGAAACAAGTTGCAGAAAGCTTTTATTTACTTGCTGTTGATGCAAAACATACTACTTCAAAAAAATATCAAATTCAAAACTTGTTAGAACGTATGCTTCTCACATTGCTAATAAATCAAACTTCAGGTTTTAATATTCTTATATATAAAAAAAGCAACGCGAACAATTATTGTGCTTCATCTTCTGGGCATGAATGCCAAGTTAGTCGTTCTTCATAAAAAGCGATTACGATCTGAGGACACTCCTTGTTAGCGTCTTTGGCCAGCACCAGATCTGCCTCATCAGAGCCTTTCCTGATATAGAAGAGAGTGGGATTTAAGAAAAAGCAAAATCATTATTTCAAAATATTTAGCAGCTCTTGATAAGTCCTAAGTTTTAAAAGAATGTCAGCTAGAAATTGGTTTCCAGTATACCTTTCACTACAGCTACCAAGAATTTCCACGCTAATGGTAATGACAAGGTTTCATAGCTCCATCTTCCTTCCCTTCCCGTATTTTCTCTGTTGGAAATGAAAACGCTTTTCAAAGGGTACCAATTATATGGTTACATACTGCAGTATGTAATGAAACAAGTAAAACTTGGTTAATTTTGTCTTTTAAAGACTAATCAAAACTTCAAAGTGAGACTTAAAAATTAATAGCACCAGTCTTAAGAGGTGGTACTTACATCCAAATTATATTTACTGTTTATGCAAGTAACTTCCTGTATTCATATTGCTATTCTTGATGCTGTGTTGGGGTAACAAAACAAACTTTCCAGTCTGACATGCTTCAGATTCCATTTTTAAGTGTATGCTGCCTTTACGAGTCAGCTTTGTGCATAGTCATATCTATGCATGTTACCTATGACCAATTATGAAAAACTAATCAACTGCAACAGAACTAAACAAAAAAAAAGATTCTTTTTGTCCTCTGAGTCTGATTTTGGCAATTATCACTATAGAAATTCAAACACTCATAATCTTTGTTTTGCAACTCTTCTAAGTTTCACATAAAATTTATAGCGAATTTGAAAAGGCAGAAGGGAGACAATCTTCTAAAGCACTAATCTGCAGCAGTCCAGGCACATCACATGACAAATGTCTCTGGAGACCACTCAGTTCGACTCCATTCAGAAAATCACGTCCTTCTCAAAGGCTGTGGAAAGCTATCCTTCTTATCCCACCATTTAAAGAGATCTGACCCCTAGCAAATGTCAATTCAATCTCTTGATTTCTCAACTGCTAGAAAGTACTAATTTTATCCCATTTGTTCAAGAAATCCTTCTGTCAACACTATGTTACCTACCCTCCCAAAAACACAAACTCCCCACGTCACTTTCCCCTCTTACTAGCCCATAATGGCAAGCCTCTCCATATTGTTTATTCTTCATCTCCACCTCTGCTTCCTCCACTACTTGCTTCCAGTTCCAGTTTGCTGCATGCAGAATAGCTGGCACTATGGTTGGTTAAATGGTTGGCTATCCAGCAGCTGGCTTCTGCTTACTGAAACATATAAAGCTGTATTCCTGCCTGCCATTTCCTCAGCAAGAGCATTGCCAAGATCCAGTTTTTCCATACAAATGCCAATTTTCCCTTTTTTTATGAGAAATTACCTTTCAAATTTCTACTTCTGTAAAACTAAACTAACTGAAATGAAAGATATTTTGTGTTTTGAAGGAAGAGGGATTAAGTACTAACTGAATATAGAAGGCTTGCTTTTCTAAGAATACAAGACTAATTAGGAGACCACCAGCTTCTCTGTCTTACTCCTGCAATGAAGTTGTCTCATGAGCCTAAGTGCAACTGCTGCCCTCTTGTAACATGGATAAGAACTGTGGATGTAAGACTTACCATTTCATGAGGAACATAAGCTCTCCACTGCTATCCGTAGCCCCAATTATCCGCTCAGGAGCAAGACCCCTTGCAAACCCTCTTGGTTTATCAACCTATTGATTAAGTTAGAATATAGTTATCCAGTTTAAGATGAAATTCCATTTTGCTGCTAGATGTATAAATTTTTGTACATACATATATGTGTGTGTGTATCAGAACAAAAAATATAGTCTTAAAAAAACATCAAATCTATAATTACATATAATTGTTGGAATAGGACATTGATTTTTTCACGACCAATCTTCAGGCCAAGTCATTTAGGGTCGTAACAATGAAGAATTTTACATCCATGTTTCCAGCATTTATTTATGAAAACACAATAGATGAAAAAAGTGTTCTAAAATCATCATAGCAGATAAACAAACAAGCATGGTCAGTAAAAGTAACAAAAGCAGCAAAGCAAAAATGCATTCCTGGAAGTGGGAAAACCGCATGCTTTTCAGCAAAACAACAGGTTCAGGTTGGCTTAAACCAACAGCGAAACTCTTGGGGAACACCTCCACTCTTCTTGGCTCACTGAGACCACACTGGTGACAAGAAATATCACAACTATTTCCTGTATTAGCTCCTTTAGAGGTTCACAATACACTTTTAGAGACAGTGGCCACTCCTGTACCAGATGAAACCACACAACTGACTCCATACAGAAAGTAAAATACTCATTGTACTATTCATCAACTATTCCTTCTGATACTTTCCAATCCTTTTGACAGTAACCGTACGTCTAAGACTTGTCTTCATACGTGAAAATGGTTGCCAATACCAGCAGTTTCAAAATGCTAGTCTGAAAGTTTACAGACGAAAATGTAAACTATTGGAATGCCTTACTACATGTGCATTATTTTGTACTTAGCAGCACTACAAATGTAATGTTGTTCACTCATTTGTATTGCAGAAAAAAATCCACACTTTCAGAAAAGGTAGGCTTTCTGCGGTCATGCTTTCTACTCCCTTTCCACCATCATGTCTGGTCCTGATCTAAGTAACTGACTGGTCTTCACATTTTGCCATCTTGCAACTCACCTATTCAAAATCATACGCTAAATACAAAAGTCAAACATCTTGGACCTTTTGCTCTAATACAAACTGATCACTTAACACCATTAATTAATAACTCTTAACCAGACTTATTTTCAATTATTCAATAAGTGTCATGGGACAATGCAAGAACTTTTAATCATCATGTACTCAATCATCTTTTACTTACCATTTGGACAGTCTCATTAACCACAATGAATGTATATCCTTTTCAGACCACAGTTCCAGATACTATGCAATTTCTACACTTTTAAATCAGTGTTCAGTCTCATTCTCAAAGTCACAATAGATTTTTTGGGTGATGGAGAGGTAGAGAAGAAATGTAGGGGGAAAAAAGCTTAGCACATGAACATATACTTACAGAATCACGTTTTTTCTTTGATTTACTATCATCAGATTCACTATCTGACAAAGATTTTCTTTTGGCACCGTCTGTTTTTTCTTTACCAGCTTTCTGAGAGTTCAAAAAAGCTTCAATTAGCTCTGGACAATCTAAGTTCTCTTCAGGTTCCCATGTGTTGTCAGCACTGAAACATACACACATTTATGTAAAACTAACCGTATGGCTCCTCTTAATTTAAGCAAGTGAATTTTGTCTTATTATATAAGGTATAAACATCTAAGGATGTTTATCTAACCCTAAGGATGTTTATTGTGCCATCTTTAGTAGCCTTCATGTACTGCAATTGATGACTGAAAGGAGTATGCTCAAATAGTGTCGAAAAACAATGTTCTTAAAGAAAAGATAGCACAATAAGCAGCTCTATTAACTCCTATGTTCTCAGTGGGATCATCAGAGTTAAAACAAGCAACTCCCACTCTACAAAAACCTATCTGCCCATTTACACCGACTCGCTTCCGTGGTTCCTCTAAAGACTGTCCATGCAAACAAACCATATGATACAAGCACTCACAGGGAACAAGGTGTACACAACACTTGTTACAAACAGCTTAAAAATATATATATATATAAGCTTCCAGATACCAGGAACACTCTCTGAAGTTGTCTCTGAGAACTGAGCGCAACTACACCTGGAACTATCTTCCTCCTTCCGTTGACTACAGGAGGGCAGAGCTCAGCACTGCATATGTTTCAGTGCATTTTGTTAACTAAAATTTTAACAAGCCCCTGCAACAACTAAGCACCTCGTCAGAAGTACTCACGCACAAATACTGCCACAGTGCTACTGCACAAGCAGGATATCAACTTTTAATAAATTTTTTCCATTACTATAACAAGTTCAAATAAGACCCTCAATTACGAAACACGTGTTTTGCATTTATATATTCATCACCACACACATTTCAGGTGCCAGAGAGCACAATGTTGCAATGCAATAATTTTGAGAGTGCAGTGACATTAACAAAAATTAATGTCACTGCATACGTAACCACTTATGCTCAAATGTTGGGGGCATCGCTTTTTCTCAGCTAGTAAAAAAAGCTGCCATGAAGTGTCACTGGAAGGAGAGAAGATGCACAATTGAATTCCTTCTTAAACTATCAACTTTATAAGTCCACTGTAAAGTTCTTGTGTACATACGTAAGTCCTGGGCAAGACACAAAAAGACAACCATGCCACAGAATTCCTTAGGCAAATTTGCTAATTTGAGAGCAGTTCGGGAAAATGAATAATAAGCAAACTATCTGCTTCAAATTCATTGCTTCAGAGCTGCCTACAGTTTAAATCCCTGCATAATTTCCTACTCAGAAGTAACATTCATTCCACTACATACGTAACTACTGTCATTCTAGCTTACCTTGACAGATATTCACAGAACCTATAGAGAACAATCACTAAGGACATGGTTAAAGTCCTCGACTATTTTATCTAGCACAAACACCGAGCTACATTATCTTCTATTTTATTTTCAGACTTGACTGTCCCACCTGAATATGCATTTATGGATGTCCTTCCCTCAAGGTTCTTTGAAGTGGATCCCCATCACCCAATCTCCTCTCTGTACAGTTATTTCAAATAAACGGTTTGTGTTTATCATTCTAATAGGGAAAAAAAAAAAAAGAAATGCCTTACTCTGTAAATCCTTTCCACTTCAAGAAGTATTCCACCTTTCCATTTTGAACACGTCTGTCCAGGACCTTCTCTACAACAAATTCTTCAGACTCTGCCTCTTCAACTTTTTTACCTTTGCCATTCTGTTTCTTTCCCATTTTGTGCTACAATAGAAATTCAGAATGACATTATTAATTCTTTTGCTTTATACGATTACTTCACTGGCCAAATCCAACTTTGCTCAGTAAACAGCAACGAATCATGTACTTATTAACACTAAAGCCAGAAGCTCAGACTCCTTTAACGTTAGTGCATGTGGTCAGGTAACCTGAGCAAGACATATTAATGTTTTGGGGTTTTTTTCAGCTGCTTAATGAGACACCCAACACCAGTTTTTAAAAAGATTAAATTTTTTGTCCACATACTCAGTGACTATACTCCCCTTATAAATTTAATTCTCAGTCCTACATGCTCAAAAAATTATGAAGCTTCTAAAATTTAACTCTATGCCTGTGAAAAGGCAGAGGGCAAGGCAGAAATAAAGAAAAGAAATAAGAGAACTGTGAAAATGCATAAAATAGAAAAGGGATGGTACTCAAAAAAAGGTGGTTACTACCTGTTCCAAAAAAATAAGGAGAAACTGATGGCAGTGAAGTTTATAGTGTAGTGCTACAATAAGCAAAATACTCAACAATAACCCGTAACTATTGAACAGGACACATGCTAGGAGCATTCCATTACTGCAGTTTCCTCCCATTCTTAGCCACGCACCTACGTAACTTACAAAGATGTGTCACAAAGGTGCATAAATTTAAGATTGCTATCCTTAAGTACAGCAGTTAACACATCAATGAAATGTTGCTAACTTAAAAAACTTTGTTTCAAGTTTACATTTGATATTTCAATTAATATTAAGTTCTTAAAATAAATATTACATCCACATCATCCTCAAGGCATTCCCAGTTTAATAAGGCACAATCAAATCGTCGTAGAAGGACACGTTTCAGAATTTCCTTGTTTGTAATCTCAAAAAGGTTGGAACAAGCCTATCGTGTTGTGTCACATTTCTGGAGGACTGGCAGACCAAAATCATTCTGCTTGCCATTTTGGACCGCACCTTACAAGGAAATGGTTAAAGCGGCAGCCATAAACTTTTAAGCTCTTAAAACATATAGTCATGCAGCACTCTAAATCAAAGAGAAGAGAACTAATTCCTCACTAAAGCACTTTCTATACAACAGAAAGCAGACACGCAAAAACCGCAAAGCACCTTTATTTGCTTGATGGCCTGTCTCTATTCCTCTCTATAATTGATGTGGGTTAGTTTGAGAATACTGCAATTTGGAAATTTTCAATTTTTTTGACTTCATAGAATTTTATCTTGATGTGGTGAAAGGTAAAAAAAAAAAAAGTATGTTAGACACAAAAAAATTGTCTCATTTTTGTAAACTGAAGATTTGAAGATGATTCTCTTGCCAAAGCCCTGTCTTCGTACTCTTTATTTTTCACAATTATTTTTTCCCTCCCTCCCTCTCTCTCCAAAATAGCTTTACTCTGGGTTAGCAACCCATAAATTGAAGGTCCAAATGAGAAAGAGGAGAAAAAGTTTCTAGTTTCTTATTGAAACAAGAAGTTTCTGTAGATTATACCTTGCATGGGAATTGTTTTGATTTGGAAGCATAGAAGAGAGATTATCTAGAACAGAGTATGTATTTCCAATTAGATTTTAACTGCCTGCATATCCCAGGTGTATTTTGACCACAGCATTCATGTCTGAAAAGTGTCAACTTAAGCACACTGGCTTTTTTTTTTGCCTCCACAGGAAAAAGAATGCAAGACTGAAATTGAAAGGAAATAAAACATGAAGACGTCCAATGCTTCTATGAAGGCAGCTTCTTTCAAGAAATGGAAATGTGAAAAAGAGAAAGGGGTAGAGATGAGGAAAAGAAACAAACAATAAAAGAAGCAGAGGAAAAAACAACAACACAGTAAAAGACAGACTCACTATACCATAGTAATAACATTATAATTACTGGTGATGAGGCAAGCAGGCTACAAGTGGGGAACATCTCCATCTGTATTCTCCGTTGGACTAAAATTCTTTGATTCAATGGAAGATTGTTTTCTGGTACTCTTTTCGGCTTCACTAATTCTTGTCACTTAAAGATCAATGTTTTGGATTTCTGTATCAAAGCAACAATTTTTTTTTTTACTTTCTAAGACTTAAGTATATTAAGTATCTTCCACAGAAGAAAATTAATGTCATGGGGGTCTGTATTTTTTTCTTGAAGTGCAGTAAGAAATAACAAAATCAAGACTATGCTGCTTTTAGTATTAAAGATTTAATTGGGTCTCGTGCATCAGCACTGCTCTCCAAACTCTTGAACTTATTAAAATAATACTTGGTTGCAGAGCCTGCAGAAATACTGAACATGTTAAAAAAGCTGTACATTCTGAGATTATACATGCCCATGCAAATCTCAGCCCACAAGTGAATGTGATATCTGACTGAAGTTAAAGGGTACTAAATGTCCACTAGGCCCCTGAATCTCCCTTCTCTAGGGTTGTATGATATAAGCTGTAACTTAGGCACTTGACACTGAAGGCTTTTCTACGGCTTGTTTCCCTTTCTGCATTCAAAAGTCACATGTGACAGATGCAGAGCTACGGATAACCACTCTTTCTTTTAAGGGCAAGGTTAAAACACTGAAGTGACACTGTAGTGTAGGGTTTTAACATACAAGAGGTAAGAAAATCAGAATTACAGCTCTAGGGTTACCCTATCCCCTAATACATTTAGGTTTTGCATGCAAATACATAATGAAGCAGAATTAGTTACGGTTCCCATGGGAACCATAACTGATTTTCCTGACCTGTGCAGCAAAATTCTTAACAACATCAAAAGATTAAAAATTCTGCATTCATAGATTTTTTCCTCTCTCTAAGGCACCCTCCCCCCAGGCTGGCTAACTCTTCTCTTCCTCAAATTTGGGATAAGTGGTCAATCAATTACAAACAGAAAGTTCAGACATTCACCTTGGTGAAATCTTTTAAAATAGCTTGTTATCATACAACATAGAGGAAGCACGCCATTGCACCTCTAAGCCAGGAGTTAATACAAGTTTTTAATATATCTCAAGCTGAGTGAACTAGTAATCATTTCAGTAAATTTAAGAACAGGCCTTTTGAGTTTGTTATAAAGCAGTTGTTCTGCTATCCAAATTTTGAATTGTGCATTTATATTTTTTGCTTACTTCCCCACCTCAAACTCAGATGTATCTCACACTATACTTTTTCAGTTCTGTTTTTCACAAAACTATATATCATCATTAGTTGAATGGTAACCAGCAACCAACTGCCCTTAGAAGTCCATATTTTAATGTCAAGCAAAGCTTTACAGGACTTGAGATCCATGAATGCATCATTAAAATGGTCCAGGAAGGGTTGACATCTGATAATCTCTGCTCCTATGAAATTCAAAGAAACTGTTATTTGTTAAAAATCATTTCAAAAGGCATCTTAACTATGCCACATCATTTCTCAACAATATTACTTTTCATCTGTAAAAACTGCCTTTTCTCAGGCAATTAGTTTTCTCTAAATACACTGGAAGAAATCAAATCAGTACATGATTTCAATTTTATTTTTTACATGTATGATGAATTACATGGTGTGCTGAAAGGAAGCTAAAAAAATCCTTAGTATTTTCTACTGTAGGACAGATGAAATAGTACAGAGTCCTTTCACACTTTTTTCCCAACAAGTCTCTTTAGAAATGGCAGATTTATTAAAGCCAATGTCCTTTCTAGTAGCCTTACTTTCTGGATCTGAAATTTTGGTCAGAATAATGCTGGGGAGGGGAGATGTGGATGTATCTTTTAAATGGAGATGCCAAGTTATAGGTTTGAAGAAAAATATGTTGATTAAATCCTTATATACTTTAGGTGTGCATGAACTTACCAATGTAGTTTTATTGGAGGCCATTTTTATTGCAGACTTGCAGAGCTTTTACTAGAAAAATGCATGACAATTAAAAGGAAGTTTGCATAACTCGAAGAAAGGCATCCCAAGACAAACATGGTCCTTGTTCCAACCCCCATGTATTCACTGCATATAACATTTCTTATACGGATTAAATCCAGAACAAAAAGTAGGTTATTACTTTGTCTGGCATAACGCAGTAACGCACCATTACACTAGCCAGGATAAATGGTACTGACAAGGTGGTAGATAGGGTTAAAAAAGGTTTTTCCCAAGGCCTTCAAAGGCTTAGAGATGTTTCTAGGGAAAAGGGGGAGGACCATCAGGGATGCTTATTTCCTTAAACCCAACAGAACAGGATTTCAGATTCTAGCAGTTGGAGATATACCTAAGGTATATTAACTGCGAATCTGGTGGGGATCAGCTACATATCTGTGGTGTAATGAATCACCCATTACTCTTACATGGTAGCAAATGCTTATAAACAGCAAATATTTATCTTAATGCAACTATAACGTTGCCTTCTAATTCTCACGTTTGCAAGAGTTAAGGTCCTAGAGCAATATTAACTCAGCTAAACCATAATGGCCCATCTTCGCGAACGAAGATTTGGGGAAAGGTCTTTTACCTTTCCAGCCTGCGCAATGGATTTTTTAGGTGAGACACAGCCTGCGCTGAACTGAGCCCACCCTTTAATCCTAAGGTTCATCTGCCGGGGCCAAGCAAGCTTGGACAATGGCAGTGAGGTCCTCAGGACGTAGGTTTGTTTAGAGTGTCCTTCTCATAGATGGATGGCCACACAGGGCTAACGACCTCCATCAGGCCAGGAGACCGGGATTTGAACCCGTGGTCGCAGCAGTGAAAGTCCTGCATGCTAACCACTAGGCCACCAGGGGTCAGCTAAACCATACACACTACATAATTAACCTACGCAAATGATGTTGAACGCAATTCATTCCCTTTTCCACGTCATTTCTCATACCGACGAGATCCTTAGGCATGTATTGTCCCCACCCCGCTGCGAGCTATAGAACTGTCAGAATTCCCCATTTGCCTGGGCAAGGCAAAAGGGAAAAGTCCTTCAAGGCCAGAATACCTCCCGGACTCAGTAATCCCGCCCAATCCTCCCCTTGACAGGGGAGGTGGATTTTGGCAACAGCATAGGCGGTGGGGTAGGCGAGGTGGGAGAAGGGCAGGGGCCAGGGCCCCAGCGCGAAGACTCTTGCCTTGTGTCCCCCCTCTTGAAAGGCGGAAGAAAGGGGAAAACCCCCCAACAAAACCAGTAACAAATCCCCCGTCAGAAAACAGGCAGCCCTGGGGAGGCCTGCTGGGGGCGGCTGCGCCTCGGGCCTGTGGCGGGCGAACATGAGGCCGGCGGGGCCGCCCCGGGCGAGGTAACGGGGCCGGGAGAGGGGGCCCCGGGCCGCTCCCGCCCCCGCCACCAGGGCCCCTTCCACGCCGTCCCCTTGCCCCCGCCCCGCCACGTTTCTCCCGGGCCCGACAGGGACGCAGGGACGGCCGCGAGCCGGCTTTGTCTGCCGCGCTGGTGCCGCTGCCCCCGCCCCCGGCGCTGCCCTCTTTCCCCGCGGCGGCAGCGCCCGCGACTCCGGGGGCCTCCCTCCCTTCCTCCCTCCTTCTCTCTCTCCCTCGCCGAGCGGGCGCCGGGGCCGCGACCCCCCGGCAGCCCCGCTCCGCCCGCCACCCCCCACCGCCAAGGAAGCGGGGGTGGAGGTGGGGGGGGGGAGAAGGGTGGGCTGCGCTCCGCATCTTCCCGCGACGGCCCGCAGCAAGCCGTAGAGGGAAGAGGAATCAGGGAAGAGGACTCGGGAGCGGGTGGGGTGGAAGGAGGCGGCTGCAGCGAGAGAAAATAGGGAGAGAGAGAGAAGGATACAGACTTCAATGGCGCCCAGCCGCTTGGGTCTCCCGTCTCCTCCTCGCTCCCGCCCTGCGCGCACTGAGCGGCAGCGGCAGCAACAGCGACATCCGCGGGGGGCTGAGGCAGCGGGTGGGGGCAGGGAGGGAAGGAGGGAGGGCGGGGAGCAGCGCGGCGGCGGCTGGCGGGGCTGGGCTGGGCTGGGCTGGGCTGGGCGAGCACTGCGCGCCGGCGGCTGTGACGGGGCAGAGCGCACGACGCCGCCACCGCCTACGCGCGAGCCGCTACAACCTCCGACCGTCGTCGCCGCCGGCACAGGAGGGGGGCCAAGACGTCTCTCCAACGCGGGGCGAGCGCAGGACCGCGCCAGGCGTCCAAAAGAAGGAAGATGCCTCGCGGCGACAGGGAAAGCGACTGGGTGAGGTGGGGGGAGCGGAGCGGGCCTGCAGACCCCGGTCGCCATGATGGCCGCCGCCGGGAGTCCGCGCCGGGCCGGAGCCGCCCCCCGCCGCGGAGTGAGGGCCTCGCTCGTCTGGAGGGGCCCGTGTGGAGGGCAGCCATTTCCCGCGTTGCGCTGGGGAGGCCCGGCCCTACGCGAGGGGTGGGGGTAGGGAAGCGGGCTCGGAGAGCAGCGGGGCTGTGGGGCTCCAAAAGTCATTCATAAGTAGAAAAAAAGGGTCGGGGAGCCAGATGGGGAGGCTTCTCTGCGGGCGGGGGAGCCGCGGGTGTATCCGCGGTGGAGCTGAGGGGGAGGGGGAGCTGAGGGGGCGGGAAGAAAGGAGCCTCTCCAGCGCCATTTCTCTCGCACGCCTGGCGGCAGCGCTCACCCTGTGTTGCGGTGGGTGCGGGGCCGCCAGAGAGAGAGAGAGGGAGGGAGGGGATGAAGGAGGGGAGGAGAGCAGAGCGCCGGAACAGGCGGTGTGCCTGATGCCGGCGGTGCGGGGTAGAGCGGAGCGGGCTGCGGCGAAGTCCGCCTCCCTCCGCCGGGGCCCCGCGATGTGTCGGCGCTGGTGCCAAAATCTGTGCAGTTCGCATTTCCTCCTGCCCGGGCGGAGGGGGAAGGGGCAGGGGCCAGGGCGATATTTCGGAGGTACGCTGCGCCCGCCCGCTCCCTGACAGTACCGCGCGTATGGAGGGGCAATGTGGGGCCGCCCGCGGCTAATTATAACCCGGTCTTTGAGCCTTCGTGTTCGCTCGGCAATTTCCGGAAAAATAAAATAAATTTAAAACCCCCAAAAAACAGCCGTGACACGGTGCCAGCGGTGGTCGGGGCCGCTTCGGCTTCGCTCGAGCACGTCTCGCGAGCCAGTTCCGTTGTCGGAAATTGCCGAGCGGGCCGGGGCAGTCGATAACTGGCTGCGTCTTTCTGTCCGGAAATTGCCGAGTGGGCGCCGAGCGCCATTTTTGCCTGCTTCGGCAGCTTCCGGAAATTGCCGAAGTGAGCCGAATGGGCTTCCGTTCCCCGTTCGGCTTTTTCCGGCGGCTGTCGAAGCGCATAAGCTCGACGACGACGGCTTCTTCGGCTCATTCCGGAGACGGCCATTACTAACGGAGTCGATGACTTTTCATTGCGCGATAAAAACACGTAGGGGCGTTATACAGAACTGCCGCCCCTCTGGAGACATTTAAGCTCCAGATTCTAGCTTTTTTTTTTTTTTTTTTAATTAATTAATCCATAATATCGGAAGCGAGCCCGGGCTGAAGAAGGAGGGCGCTAGCTCTACGCGGAGCTGAATTTCAAATTACGTAACAGTTCAGGCAGCCATTACCGACCGGTTGTACGGTACTCTCGAGCAGGAATACGTAAACCATGAAGAACATGGTACGTAGGAAGGGAGGATTCAGTTTGTTTTTAAGGAGGGAGGCGCATTTGCTTCTGCGGGAGGAGTGAATTTTTCTGGGGCTAGGCATTACTAGCAGGCTTGAGCCTTTGTCCGCGCGGGTCTTGGCGCCGCCGCCGGGTCGCACCGCGGGCCGGGCGCTGGGTGTCTGCGCGGAGGAAGGTTCTGGAAGCGGCGGCTGGGGCTGACGCGCAGCCGGGCAAGGCGGCGGAAGCTGCGGTAACCGCGCATGGTGAACAGCGCATTGTTAAGCGGTGGCCGCGCTGCCCTGAAGTGTCGCCGGAGGCAGGGGACGCGGGACTCCGAGGGTCGGTCGGTGGGCGGGCCGGGGGCCGCCTTGGCCTCGCGAGGTGCGGAGCGGCCGGGGCGGTGCAGTGGGTAATGGCGGTGCCGAGGGGGAGGGGTAAAATGGCGGCCTGGCCGAGGATCGCGCCTGCCAGGGGCTGGGGGGGTCGCTCTAGGAGAGGGGGCGAGGCGGAGGGGGAAGCTGTAGTCGTTCGGTATCAGCGGGGGCGGGAAGGAGCGCCGGAGAGGTCTTCCTGGTGCCGGGTGTGTAGGTGCACGCTAGGAGCGCTTTGCAGCCCTGTCCCTGGAAGCGGCGGCTGCTCCCGGGCGCCATTTTCCCCGCCCGGCTCGGGGCCGCGGTGTTCCTGCGGCCGCCACATGGCGGAGCCGGCGCGGCCGCCACGTCCCGCCCGCCTCAGGCGGCGAGCGGGGAGCTGGGCCAAGGAATTGCGGAGCTCTGGAGTTTGGGGATCCCCTATCGCTGGTCTCCGTCAAACAATTTTGTTACCCTAGTTAGTAATTCTGCGGTCAGCGTAGGTTGTGTGCGCGCACGTTATTGCTATATCAGACAGGTTTCCTTGCTCCGGTGATTAATACTCCAGTAAAGGCTGTGCGTTTTCCAGTCCTCTGAAGTGTTTCTTTAAGCCTGTGAAGGAAAGCTTAAAATGCACACAAATGAAGATTCTATAGGGGTTGTAAAAATTTCCTCTCGCACTCCGTTCCTGCCACAGGGTTTACTGTGGAAATCTTCAAGGAGGTGTTTCCTCCAGTTTTTATTTTGTATGCCTTGGTAGACACGGAATGTCGGTGTGTTTCCCTCAGGATTTTAAGAGGGACAGGGACGGGAGTGATGATTATTGTCGTACATTTTAAACCTTCAGCATAAGCTTTACACGGTCAGAGCTCTCTGGACCCTGGTGGGAGGTTAATGTTAGGTTAACCAGAGCTTCTTCAAACTGACAGCATTTTAAACGAATAGATTCTCCACACTCAGAGGCTGTGTGTGTGTGGAGCAACACGTTTATGCTGGTTTTGCACAGTGATTTTCATTAAAGTACCTGGTAATAAATTTTGTTATTGGTGTGTCCTGACACGTGGTACCTAGATGTTGTTCTGGGTGAGGTATGACACCGAATACGGCTATAAAAGTGTATTACTGTCTTGTTCGATTCTAGTAATGCGTGGTATGTTTTGGCATTGTTGCAGCTGATAGGTTCCCTTCTTTCCTTGAATTTCATTTACATGTTTTATAACTTTTCAGAGGTGGACCTAATACTTACTGGAAAAAGCCTAGCAGCCTACTAAACATGCTTGATTCTCATATTTTTTTAATAACGTGCATTATTAAATGCATGACGATTATATAGGAAAAAGTGTCTTTTGTGGGCTTATGAAACAGTAACCACGTGGTCCCTAATTTTTAGGCAGCAAAACTGAAGTAATTTCAAGGGAGGATTTTTTTCACAATATTATTGCTTAAAAACTTTTCTTTGCCAGCTTACTCAAGTTAAAAAAAATTATAGTATAGCATTAGCATGCAGCATATGGTGTTTTTTAGCCCAGATCTGGTATGCAGTGTTCTTTCCTTTATTTCTTTTATGAGATAAGGCAAAAGGAAATGACATGGCATAAAATATGGATTTGCTGCTTTTAAACTCGTGTGTCATTTTGCCTCTCTGTACAAGGAGGCGACAGTACTAGCTTTGTCTGTGTTCCTAGAAGAAAAATTAGATCCAACAGCAGATTCCAAGTGTTTTCAAGAGACATTTAAACTGACAGTTCTCAAATATCTAGATCCAGGCCTGCCTTGAACAACCTCAGAAAACATGTTGGTCTACATGCAGGTTGGCTTAATACTTCTAAAAGCATATGTGTGCTGAAGTATTTTGCTTGTTTTCTAAGTCTCATTGTTTCTCTAGTTTCCTTTTATCCATTTACCTTCATGTCCAGTGCATAGTTGGTCATGTTGTGTTTGCCATTTACAACTATCTGTGCATTGTTTTGGTTTAAAAAAAACAACTACCCCCTGAAGGAAACCAAAACACCCAAGCAGATTTTCTCGATTCTTAAGGTTATATGTCAGTATAAAGCTAAAGTCATCATTGCATTTGAATTCTCTTGTCATTAGCAGGACAGTTTTCTTTAAAACAACATTCAGAAATCAAAAATTCTGTGAAAAGGGAACAACTTTTTAGTGCATTTTTAAATTGCTTGACGTGAAATTTTAACAGGTACGAGCTAGTGATACTACTGTGTGTAGAAAATGCCAATTACAATGCATGCTTGGTATATAAAGCTGCTGTAAAAGTGTTTTGAACTGATAGAGGTTGGAAGGTTGTCCTTCCTGCTTTGGTATATGACTACATACGAAAGAGTAAATGTAATACAGTATTACTGTTCCATTTGTGTTGGGTTTTTGGAGTTTTTTTATGATGTCCTTGTCATTGCAGCAGAGATTTCTGCTGAACAAGTACAGTGATGGTTTCTCTGTAGGGTAATAAAGTCTTATTGGAAGCATGATTTATATTAGTGGATACAAATGTGTATTATTCATATGTCTGTTTTAAGGGGAGTTGTTTTGATACTGCTGCTGTTGAGGCAGAGAGGTTTGCTGCTAATTCCAGTGGTGTGGGATCCCAGATCGATTTTACAGATGCTCTGACTCTCATTTATTTTAATGATTATGGAGAAAATATCAATTGTTGACCTGTTTTAGAACGTTTTTAGTTGTATTTTGTTTATTTTTACCTTTATTGCCTTGGGTAAATAGCATAGTATTGTTCATGTACAGTAGTTTGAGCCAGAACAGTTTTTAAAAATAACTGTCACCTAGAATAGAACTGGATGGTATGAATGATTTTGTTTTATATAGTGAGAACTTTCAGGTTTGTTTTTATGTTCCTTTTCTTTAAAAAGCATCTCATAAAGGTCTTTGAGAGGAATGTTCTGGAAGTCTTTAGTGTGCTCCCTCGTTTTTGATACTCGGAGGAAGAGACAGGAATAAGCACACTAATAAAATCTGTGCAGTAAAAGTGGACCTGTAGAATTGCATAAATTGTTAATTTTTTTAATGGGGTAGAACATTTAAAAGAGTCAATCTTGATTTTGAAAATAAGACTTAACTGAAAGTTTTTGACACTTATGAAAATCTTAGTGTTTAATTTGTTGATGAAAGAGAGGTGTTTTTAATTATATTAATGTAATCTTCTTTTCTGTGGCAGAGGGAAAAGGAGCAGTTCCGCAAACTGTTTATTGGCGGCTTAAGCTTTGAAACCACAGAGGAAAGCTTGAGGAGTTACTATGAGCAATGGGGAAAGCTTACAGACTGTGTGGTAAGTTTAACATACTAATACACAACAATGGCATGGAATGTTTAGGAGTTTTAAATGGGGAGTTTGTTTTCTGGATAGTTTAATGAGAATATGGAATATTAGATTTTCTTAAGTGTCCAGTTTGGTTTATACACAAATCAGTCCATGGAAGCAATGCGTAGATTTTTCCCTTGCAAACTCTGTTGACAGGGTTAGGGAGCGTTTACAATCTGTTT